GTTATCTAGACAAGTAAAACAGAGTTAAAGGAGTATCTTAAAAGTACGACACGTAGATAGTCGACTAAGCTTCGGCAGTAAAGATTGTCAAGGCAAACGGTAAGTGCGACACCAGCGATGAAGGATCGTAAGAATGCAGAATAGTACGATTACGAGTAGAGTTTGAGAAAGGGCCGTCAGGAAGGGCCTTAAGGGCAACACAGCCCCGGGTCCTGACGGCCTCCACAAGCGTGTCCACGCCCTGGCCATAGGCGTCCTCGCGGAGCAATACGCGCGCGTATATAGCGCGTGTTTACGGAGAGGAGTCTTTCCCCCGCGGTGGAGGAGTGCCACGCTGGTACTCCTCCCAAAGGAGGGGAAAGACGCCTCTCTCCCGTCGCGGTGTGAGTATCATAAAGCTACTGCATATTTGTACACATTTTTTACACGTATAATTGTATTTATTTTACTTTATATATTCTTTCAGTTCTAACGATGAACCACATATCCCGCCGCGTATCATGTGCAGGAGGTTACCGCTGACATCTACATCGTTCGAATACATAGATATTGGGATCAGAGTAGTACCTCGTGCATCCTACGTAGAAATAATTCTCGGCGATAATCAAGGACATCAGATTGAGTTAGATCAATCAATTTGGAAAGAATACAGACAAAATCAATAAAAAATAGACCAGCTGCTAAAGGCAACAGATGCGTCATCATCATCAGCGATACAGCTTAATCATTTAGCTATAGAACTAGTTAGAATGCGCCACGGAAATATTGTAAAAGTAACATCAAATAATACTTATATGTACATGAAACCACAAAGGCGGGAAGACGAGCCAGCCAACCTCAGCAGGGAGCGGCAAGGCGGAGTCGCGACCCCAGCGGGCTGACGCAAAGGCAACCAAGCCAAGCGCAACCCAAGGGGCAAAGGTGCAGGAGCAGGCTAGGAAGAAGAGGAGGACTCCGAGGTCGGAGGCGGTCACGATCTCATTCCCTGCGGGCGAATGCGCACAGGGGATGAGGGAAGTTAGGGCCAAGGTGGACCTCGAGGCCCTAGGAATAGGGCCTCTGAGGCAGAGAAGAGCGCTCACGGGGGCCCTGATATTTGAGGTATCGGGGCCGGAGAGTGCAAGGAAGGCCGACGCCCTTGCGAAGGAGATCCGCGGGGCGTTGGAGGGTAAGGAAGGCGTGCGGGGGTCTCTCGCCCAACAAAAATGGCGGAGATCCGAGTTAAGGACCTGGACGAGTCCCTTACTCAGGAGGAGATTCGCCAGGCCATAGCCCGGGTGGGGGGTTGTGACCAGGGGGACGTCAAGATCGGCCAACCCAAGAAGGCCCCCAACGGACTGGCGACAGCGTGGGCCCAGTGCCCAGTTGCAGCGGCGGTCAAAGTCACGTCGAAGAGGCGCATCAGGGTTGGGTGGGTGTCACTTAGAGTAGAGATGCTCGACGCCCGCCCCCTGGTGTGCTTCCGATGCCTGGAGAGGGGGCACGTCCGGGAGCAGTGCCGCAACCCCGTGGACCGTAGCGCACTGTGTTAGAGGTGTGGCAGGGAGGGTCATAAGGCGCAGACGTGCACCGAAGACCCAAACTGCCCGGTCTGCAGCGCTAGGGGCCTCCCGGCGAAACACAAGGCGGGAGGAGCGGCCTGCCCCCCGCAGTCAAAGAGGGGGAAAAAGAGGGCGGAACAGGAGAGAGTCCGCCGCACGCAGCCTACGAATCCCCCGGGGCCCGGAACCACGAAGGGGGGAGAGACGCAGGAGAGCATGGAGGTCGATCCACCGGTCTCGGAGACCGTTGGCCCTAATAAGGAGCCGAGAGGAGGAGAAAGCCTGGAGGAGGCTGAAAGGCCGGCGCCTTCAACCAGCAAACGAAGATTCTCCAGGCGAACCTGAACCGCTCCCGGCCGTCGCAGGATATGTTTCTGCAATGTCTGGCCGAGAGCGGCTCGGGTCTGGGGATCGCGACCGAGCCAAATAGAGTCCTCAGCCACCCATGCTGGGCTGGCAGTGAGGACGGCTCGGTCGCGATCACGTGGAGGAGAACGGGGGAGATACACACCCCTGCTTCTAAGATAGCGGGTGGTGAAGGCTGGGTGGCGGTTACCTGGGGGCCCCTGACGGTAGTGGGGGTCTACCTGCGCCCAAGCCTCTCCCGCGCTGAGGCGGATGAAAGACTCCAAGATCTGGCGGTCTGGATCCGGAGTCGCCTACCCGACCCGATGCTGATAGCCGGGGACTTCAATGCCAAGTCGGCACTTTAGGGTTCCCGGCGGCCGGATGCAAAGGGACGTAGTGGACTGGGCGGCTCGTCTGGGGCTCCATATTCTGAACGTGGGCACAACGAGCACCTGTGTGAGGCCGCAAGGTGAGTCGATCATAGACCTCACATGGTCCTCACCCGCGGCCTCCGGATGGGTGACATCCTGGCGGGTGGCGGAGGAGATGGAGATCCTCTCCGACCACCTGCCCATTGAGGTGGAGCGCCGACGAGCCCCCCGGAGGAGGACCGCGGAAGGCCAACGCCCACGAAGATGGGCCGTCCGGAAACTCGACCCGGACAGGCTCGAGGCATCCCTGGAGGCAGCTCTCTGGGCTGGGGGGTCCCAACCCAGGGATATTGGAGAGGAGGCACTATGGCTCCGGCGCGCAATGACTGCCGCCTGCGACAGTGCAATGCCGAGAGCCACGTACACAGCGCGCAGGAGCGCGTACTGGTGGACGGAGGAGATCGCGGAGCAGAGGCGATCCTCCGTCCGCGCCAGACGGGCCCTGCAGCGTGCAAGGAGGAGGAGAGGGACCACGGACGCCCAACTTGAGAACCTCAATGAGGAGTACAAGGAACTGCGGGCCAGCCTAAGACTGGCCATAAGAAAAGCCAAGGAGAGGGCGTGGGAGGAAATGATCCTCTCCTTGGACGAGGACCCGTGGGGGCGTCCGTATCGCCTGGTTATGGACAGGCTGAACAGCGGGGCCTCCCCAACAACGGAGACCC